AAAGTGACCTGGATTCTAGCTACTTAACTCTGTACATCATCAAAATAACCCCCAAGTCCCTACCCCTGCACTTTGCCTTTGTAGTGGTAGAAAAAACAAATACTGCACTACAATTTGACTTTCAGATCTCAAGTAGGGCTATTTTAAGCTGCTGAAATAATAAACTTTATCTTTCTAGCACAGTAGGCTACTTTTGTAGAGAAGTTAAAGTATACTGGTTAAAGTATTTTTTCTCCAAAACGCACAAAGGTACATTTCTCCATGCTTTTCCCCTCATCAACCCTTGACACTGACAAATAGAGTTAAAATTTTTTTGAAAGGAGAAGAGTTTCTGGAGTAAAAAAATTATGTGAGATACTGCCTCAGATAATCTCAGTATATTTTATAGAGAAAGGATATTGGAATGTTCAAATGACAGTAGATAGAGAATTCTACCATGATCTTCAAATAAATAGTTTTGTTTAATGCATTTTTCTTTATGATACCTACAAATAAGATTTGCCTTTTCCCTTTAAAACTGGCACAGATTTTCTATGTTTTGATAATTTTTTCTAGTTTTAAAAGTTAGCTGTTAAAAAGAATATGAATGTGTGACTATGTAACTTTACTCTTACTTAAAGCATATTGCTGCAGAACAGTATTTGTTACACAGTGATTAACATTATAGTGACCTAGTTTGAGCCAAATTCTTTCTTTTTACTTGTGAAGAAGAGAGAGGTCTGCAAATTACCACAGGCCCATGGGGAGCAAATGTAAGCAGGAGTCAAATGACAGCTTGTATTTGCAACCAGGGACACACACCAATCTTTGCAAACACATTTATTTATATGGGAAGTAAAGTAGACAGAAGCATCTATTTTCAATATAATATTTCTAAGCTAGAAATTATGTGCTGCATGACTGGCAAATAAACAGAAAAGTAAACTCAGAGCTTGAATTTTGTTAGATGATTAAACAGTTTTACTTTTCTTTGGTTATATATTGGTTTCTCAAAAAACTGGGAATTTCTTAAAACCAGGTACCCTGTCAACTCATCATTTAGTGTGCAGATTACTAGTTAAGAAATTATAACCCATGCATTCATTTAATATGTATTTATTGAGCACCTATTATGTGCCAGGCACTATGTTAAGTGATGGGTACAGAATAGTGAATGAGGATAAAAGGAAGAGGAGGTCCCTACCCCAGGCAATGAGGTTGTGATCTGATTTATGAATTTGGGAGAAGGAGTCAGGCATATCCAACTCAATGCTTTCTCCTATTTGGGGTCATGCTATACAGCAAAGAGCTTATTTATTGTGTATCTCTTGCCATGAGGTAATAGGGGCCTTCACCTAGAGGGAAAGGCCTTAAGTTTCCCATCTAATGATAGGATAAATAGGATACCTAATTCAGAAATGAAGTATCAGATGCTCATTTGGTCTTATGCTTAAGTTTTTCCCCCAAAACATTCTCATCATTCATAAAGTTACATTTTATCTGCCTGACTCCTATCTCTCACTTTGTTCTAAACTGAACGGATAAAAGAAGTGTAGTGACAATGACCACACCAAGAAAGACATACCTCTGCGACTAACTAGCAGGATGACCTATGGCAAGTCACTTAACCTGAGTTACTTTATCTGGAAATAGGACTAAGAAGTGATATCTAAACTCCCTGATTGCTCAAATATTCTATAATTCTATGACTGTTTATAGTAGAAATTGTTTAAAGATGTCATTGAAATTATTTTTTATTATTGAGATTTAGAAAATTTTCAGCTTCAAAATCTGTTATTGGTTATGCAATGCAAGTAGTTAAGACTAGTCAAATTTGGGAAAATATCTATCAAGTTCCTTTCGTATGTGAAGTGTTGTACTATACTTGTTTTTTTGTTGCATCACTACACTCTGTGTATTCCTATAAACACAGGAATTATGAGAAATTTTACTTTGCGTGCTTTCTAAAAGAACATTTTAAACATGGTATATTTAACATTTCTTTTCACTACATAGTTGATCCTTCAACAACAGGGTTTAAACTGCACAGGTTTACTTATATGCTGATTATTTTCAATAAATACATTAGAAATTTTTTGGGAATTTGTGACAATTTGAAAAAATATTTTCTTTTCTTTAGCTTAGTTTATTGTAAGAATATAGTATGTAATACATATAACAGAAAATATGGATTAATCAAATGTATGTTATCAGGAAGGTTTCTGGTCAATAGTAGGCTATTAGTAGTTAAGTTTCTTGGTGAGTCAAGTTATACATAGATTTTTGACAACACAGGAACTTGGTACACCTAACCCCCAAGTTGTCCAAGGGTCAACTATATTATTTAATATATTTCTAAAGGAAAGAACTTGCCTTTTGATAAGGCACTGATGAGAACCAAATCCTCTTCTTCCAATTTACATGTATGATGATCAGAAGAATTTTCCACAGGTTTGTTTTTGGGTTCCCCTCCACTGTCAGACACTTCCAACTGCCATTGAAAGTATTTGAAATTGACTTTCCCATGAATAGAGTATAATATATAAGATAAGAAGGTGAAGTTTATTAGTTCAATGTAAATAATTTTACTCTAAATGGATACTCACATGATATATTGTGATAGTGTCTTTGGCTTGGAGCTTTCTACTGTAATGTCAGGTGGTAGGACTATTCCTGGAAGCTATTCCTTTATCAAGATATGTAGAAATAATTTAACTACACACGAAGTAACTATTAACTGCACAAGTATATATCACTAAACCCAAATTAAATATATCCCCAAATTGGGTTCCTCTTACCTAGATCTCTAGTATACCCCAGACCACTCCAGCTCCATGCAACATAAGGGTAAAGGGTAATGACACAACATTCAGTCTGTGTCACAGACTGAATAGTGCATCCCTAAAATTTATATGTTGAAAACCTAACCCCTAATGTGACTGTATTTGAAGGTAAGTCCTGTAAGGAGTTAATGAAGGCTAAATGAGGTCATAAGGATAGGGCCCTAATCCAATACGATTGATGTCTTTATAAGAAGAGGAAGACACCAGGGATGCTTGTGTGTACACAGAGGGACAGCCACGTGAGGATATAAACAAAGCCGAGATCTGCTACCAAAGGGTGAGGACACACAAATTGCTCTTGCTTAAGATCCCTCAGCTATACAAGTGTTAGGTTGTGATGGCAGTGGGGTGGGGACAGAAATGCTAAGAAAGTCCCACTTCTGCGGTCCCGATGCACAGAGCCTGCCTAGACTGAGGCTGGACTGAAACAAAGAGAACCTACCCATGAAGAGCCTTGTACTAAGCAGTAGCAATCTACTGGTTGGTAGAGACAAGAACATGCAAAGAGGCACCCTGAAGGGTGTAGGTATACAGAACTTGATGAAAGGCAGTGTTAGCAGGAAAACTGGAAAAGATAAAACCCTCCAGCACCACAGGCCATGAAATAGGCACAAAATAGCAGCTGACCATTACTGGAGGAATTTGAAGTCTGTGGTACATTGAAAATAACTCAATCAGCAGTAAACCCAAGCTAAGTTCACATACTGAGTAGATGGACTGAACTCTCTACGCTAACAGTGTTTTGAAAGAAGAGGAGTGCCCTGTTCCACATATAAGTAGTATTTACCTCTGTCTCTACTGCTTTTTTTTACACAAAATATCCAAAATACTACAGAAAATTGAGACATAAAAAAATCAAGGAAAAGAAAACCTGACTTGTTGTCAAAAGAAAAGGTAGTCAATAGAACCAAAGGATAATCTCTCAAGCCAGGGAGGACACAAATTACAATTATGAATTTGAAGAATAAAAAGAAGTCATTGGTGTAGATCCTACAGACATTAAGAAGATACTAAGGGACTATGTCTACCTTCTCCATTTCTACTACTTCATGTACATAAATTTAATACCTCAAATGAAAAGGAAATATCCACTGAAAGGTACAAATTCCCAAAGCTCTTTGAAGAAAAAAAAACCAGATGAACTAAATAGCTTTGTACCTATTAAATAAATTGAATTCATACTTTAAAAAACTTTCTTATTGGTGATTTTTACTAAATGTATAAGGAAGAAATAATACCAACTTTACACAGAATCTTCTAGAACACATTTTATGAGCCAGCATTACTCTGACACCTAAACCAGTTCAATATTCCTCAAGTACAAAGAAACAAAAGTCTTCAACAAAATATTAGCCAACTAAATCATATATATAATATATTATCATGAGTTAGAGTTTATCCCAGGATAAAGTTGGTTCTAATTGAAAAAAGCAGTCAGCATAATTAACCATAGCCATATACAAATTACCCAAAACCATACATTCATCTCCATAGATGCAGATTGACTTGAACACGCATCAGTGATAGAGACTCTGCAAACTAGGAATACGATAAAACTTCCACAAGCTGATAATAAATAGTATCTATAAAATACCATTTCATACTAAACCATGAAAGAATGTTTGCTCTCTAAAATAAGAAACAAAGCAAGGATGTCCACAAAACATATAGATTAGAAAGAAAGAAAAAAAAGTCTTTATATTAAAATGACCTGATTATCAATGAAGATATTCACAAATAATTTATGAAAAAAATTAGAACTAATTAATAACATTTGCAAGGTCAGGACACAATTATGAAAAAGAAAAAGCTGTAAGAACTATACTGCCTGATTTTAAGATTTACTATAAAGCTATAGTAATCAAAAGCATGTGGTAATTAGAGAAAGAATAGACATATAGGTCAATTGAACCTAACAGAGAGTCCAAATTTACCAAATCAGGGTCTGTATTTTAACAAGATTCACATGTAATTCAATGTACATTAAGTATGAGAAGCATTAGGCTAAAATAAGAAGTGCCAATGGTGTTAATCTACAATAGAAATGATCTCTTGTTCTCTTAAAATGATCCCACCATTGACTAGCTCGTCAAGTCCCCAACTTAGGTATTATCTTTCCCCTTTTCCTCACCCATCCCTCCCAGTTCATATCTGTCAGCAAGTTCTATTGGTTCGTACCTCACAATCAGGTCTCAATCCATCCAAGTCCTTCTCCCATGGCCGCCCTACTCCAAGCTGCCATTTTCTCTCCTGTACTGACTACATGGCCTCCTGGTTTCTTTGCTGCCTCTCTTTCCCCTCCAGACCAATCATGAAACAGCCAGAGTGATCTTTGTGGATCTAGGGGGCAAGACAGAAAATAAACACATGAGTGAATAAATGAAAACAATTATTATTAATTGTAATAAGTGTAATGAAGGAAATCAACACAGCGATGTGATAAATAAAGAGGAGGCCCCTTGCCTCCTATAATAGGGAGTGTCTAAGTCAGCTTGGACTGTCAGAACAAAATACTACAGACTGGGTGGTTTGAACAACAGGAATTAATTTTCTTACAGTTCTGGAGGCTGGAAGTCCAAGAGCAAAGTCTCATCAGTGTTGGTTTCTGGTGAAAGCTCTCTTCCTGGCTTGTAGTCAGTCATTTTCCTTCTGTGTTCTCTCATGGCCTTTCCTTTGTGCCCAGAAAGAGAGGGAGAAAGCACGTTGGATCTCTTCTTGTTATTAACAAGGACCCAGACCTATTGGATTGGGACTCCACCCTTATGACCACTTAACCTTAATTTCTTCTTCACAGTCTCTGTCTCCAAATACAGTCACATTGGGGATTAAAGCTTCAATTTATGGAATTGACAGGGGTGGGGAATGTGATAGAGGAGACACCATTCCATCCCTGACAGGGAGACTGGGATGGCTGTTCGGTGGAGGTAACGTCTGAGGATCTGAGGTTTGAGATGTAGCCAACTACGTGAAGATCATGGTTGAGGGAACCCATGGGCATAGGACACCTTCAAGTATTGGAGAAAAAACAAATCCAGCTATTTATAACTTGGTCGAGGTGGGATTTTATAATCAGTCCTGTCATATTTCAGACTTCTATTCAAAAGTCACTCTACCAGCATTTGAAACTGGCATTTGGACAAGGTAAAAAAATAAAAATGCAAAGAGAAGAGACTAATTGCAGGCAGGTGGGAGTTGCAGCTTTATTTCCAGTCCAAAACTAATACTTCTCACTGAAACTGGTTCTCTTAAAGCCACCTCCGTGAAGGACGACTTCTCAGGATGTCTCATTAAGTATTTAATGGCCGTATGCCTACTCTATTGAGAGTGACTTAAAAGCATTACCCAATTCCACCATGAAAGAAAAAGCCTCAGAAAGTTCTGAAGGTCTCATTGACTGATGAGCATGGAGATTCTTAGTCTTAGTCTGTCTAAGTCTACAGAAGAACAGTTGACATCACATGTCAGCAAAGACTTCTGATGGGTGCCGCCTGAAGGCTTCGCGGCTGCTTAGCTCTGTTTACTCAGCAGCAGCATTCGGCAGAGACTGTGGTTGAGACATGATGCAAGGAAGGAAGAGGGGATGTGAAATCCTGAAATCCTTCCACAGTTTTTCAACCACACCCCGTTTCCATTATCACCAGTGGGGAGGTGAGCGGAGAGTACTACTAAATACCACAACAGGCATGATTTGTGCTTGATTCACTTTCCCCAGCCCAGTGTAATCATCAACAGCATCAGGACTCTGTGAACGAGCATCTTGCTGAGTTCAGGCTGAAGGAAGCATTGCTTTCATGTTCACTAAGATTCTCCATGTAAGTCCTAGGGTCACTTCCAGCAATCAAATGACCAAGAATCATATTTTAAAAAATTATCTTAAATATCCTTGTAATGCAGATTCTGTTTGTTAAAAAGAAATATATGAAAATAATACATACTATATGTTCTATAACCAATGGATAAGTTGTATTTCTCTTTGATAGAATCCTTGTTATACTCCTTCAGGATATATTATCATTAGTTGGTTTCCTCAACTAGTGGCCAAGGAAAATTAAAATTTAACTTCTCTGCATTCTGTGCTGATTCTACACATCTATGTGATAAATTAGAATAGGACCTCGTGGGCTATCTAGTTTTCTGTGGTTTAATTTGTACTTGTGATTTAATTTGAACATAAATTGGTGAATTGGTAGAAGTTTTTTTAAAATACCTCTGAAAATCATTTGATTGTAACTACTACAATCAGAATCTTATGTTTAACATAATATGATATATAAAATTGTCTATTTAAACATGAACATGAACTTTTAAAATCTGAGTATGTAAGATAGTACATATGTTTATTTAATTTACCTTTTTAATGAACTGTGATTTTTCTTTTTATTAAAGTCATTAAGAATCATTTAAGCAATTATTTAGTGAAACAGATTAACTTAAAACTACTACTGTGGACTGATCAATTTTAAGTGACAATTATTTAGTTGAAAAATCTACTTGCTGTAAATGTTTTTTAAAAAAACCTGTATATTCTTCTTGATTTTCTCCAAGGACCAATTTTGGGATCTTTTATGCTGTTAGTTTGTACTAATAATCTTTCTTTCTTGCAAATAATTCCAAGTTTACTTTATTACAGATGGTATTCATCTATAGCCAGAAATACTTTCCAAAATGCACCCTAGCTCAGTAAACTAGTTTAAAAAACATCTTTAATAAAAATAAACAGTCAAAAAACAGAGAATAACATGAATCAAAACCCCTAAGAGCAACATAACTGGCTGTTTTTCACCTCACTAATCCTAGTTTAAAAAAAATTATTCTAGAGTACAAACGTATAAGAAATAGAAACTCAGTTGCATGACTGTATACATGATTTAATGGGATATGGTAACTGGAATGGCTGCCACCTGTGCTGTGTTAAAAACAGGATCTTGCGCATCTAGTTAAAACTACACCAGGTAAAAGTGATCACTGAGTTTAATACAGTTTAGATTACCCAGTATGGGATAGTTTTGGCTGAAACCCTGGAGAGTTGGCTGAAAAGATAGAAAAATTAAGTTTTCTGAACTGAGCATTTGTCTTTAGATTTTTGTATTGGCGTAAAGCTATCTAAAAAAAAATCTTGAATGACCTCCACTTGCCAGGCATCAAACTAGATATCAGTGAACAAAATATATGTGTTATATATATATATATATATATATAACACATATATATATATGTATATCAATGACCAAAATACATATAGTCTGCAAACATTAATTAAAATATATAAACACCTGAAAGGTAGCTTCATCGATAAGATAGCTCTTATCAATTATATGGGCCATGAATAGCCTTTATAAAAAGATTGTTATTAGAATTTAAGAAAATGAAATACAGATTCCATTTCAAAAATAATGTGTTAAACTAGCAGTTTTAGGTTCTGAACATGCACTGCCACCCAATGGAGATGTGCCCCAATGGCACCAGTTTGTAGGTGTGGAGACCATACATCCTCTTGAGGAAGTAATACCGTTGTGCAAATTATTCAGTATGGTGCTGGTGGTTTTTGTTTTTTTCTTCCCAGATTGCCCTGGGGGAGAAGGGTGGGGAACTTTAGCTAAGAATTTGTTATTCTTTAAACCCAGCAAAAAAACCTCATTCAAAAATCTGATCTGGTGACATTAGTGAAGTAGTGAAATCACCTACGAATACCTTCTGTGATAGCAAATAACATTAACCATCTCATAGAAGCATTACCAATATGCTAAAAATAACCTTGTCATATTATGTAGGAGTTGTATCATGAAGAATCGAGGCTGGGAAAAACCAACAGAATAGACCATAGGTCTTCTGGTCTGCAGGTCTCTAAATTTTCTGCCCAATTCTTTTTGTTGTTGTTGTTGTTGTTATTGTTGTTTATGGTTTTGTAGAATCAGCCTGATTCTCGTCAATCAAGGGTAACGTGTAAAGGGTCTTGACTGCTTAAGAGGAGGAATGGATTAGAATGTTCCTCTCCTTCCTCCATCATGATTACTTGATCAATGTTCAAGGCTCTGACACAAAGTATATAAAGGGGTAAAAATGTAGAGCACCTCAAAAGTTCTTAAAATCGCTTGTATTTTAGGTGTTTTCTAGAGGATGTGAAACAGACACTTTCACATTTTTATTGATTGAAAACTCCAGATAACCAGTATATTGTCCCATGGAAAGTTTTTAAATAAGAAGGTGCCCTGATGTCCCAGGCTTGCTTTGTTTAGGAAATTCATCATTCAGGAAAAGTTAACTTCCAGTTCAGTGAGAATGTTGCTATGGAGGCTCTTTATGTCCTAAATTCCACTTCCACTTTCACATAGGCCAGAGTAACAGAGGGGTCAGGGTACTGGATGGGGCTCCAACACATAGGAACTAGAGCTTCTTTCTGTGACTTTAGCTGTTAAGAAAGCCTGAGCTTAGTAATTCTGTCATGGACATGCTGAAACAGTTTTCAAGGCAGCAATTGCCTTATTGAATTTATCATTTGATCACCTTAACACCCAGTCTCCAAAGGGATAATTACCTATAATGTATCTTGTGACTCTTGAAGTTACATTATGAAATGTGACAAGAGAGTTTAAATCGGTTTAATGAAAAAGGTTATGGTAAATTTCTGGTTTAGATTTCTGGAACAAGTGATTAAAGCCATACTCCATATAGACTTTGTAGAGTTTTTCTGTTTATTGAAGATTCAGAAGTGACAAACATCATTTAGTCATTCAACAACATTTATTGCATACTTAACAAGTGCTCTGTGTAGATATCTTACATATATGTGTACATATGGACATTAAGATGAGTAATGAGACAGAGTCTCTGCCTAGTCAGGGAGGAACACTGCCATGGCTTGGCCAGCATGTGCTGACTTACAGTCCAAGACAGATGTTAGTTTAAAATATGAAGCCCATGTTTTGGATACAAGAGTGGTAGACATTACATCAATTGATCATCAAATGAATTGGTACTTGTTGCTATAGTTAGAAATGACTCTGTTCCATTAGAAAAAGCTATTACATTTTTAACAAAAATTGTGCCAAGAACAGCATCTTTAGTCAGAAGAAAATTTCTGTGATCAAAGCAGATTACTTTAATAATGATAAAGCACTCTAATAAAAAGTTATAAATGTTGTATGTATGTAAGATACATAGTGATACTCTAATGACAAATTAAACACTTGGGAATGCAGTTGCTCTGTTGGGTCCTCATAATAAATTTGTCTCAAAGGAAGTTGTTAGAGAGCTATGGGGGAATCTAGATGCCTAGTCAAGATAAAGGATCATCTGTCTCACTTGCAACTCACTAGGATTGAGAATCACTGGAGAAGTGC